GAGCTCAGTGCTGGCGCATAGTAGGCACTCAATAAATATTTGGTGAATTGGGGGGGGGACAGGTAAGTGAATGCAACGGAGTCAATCATTCCAACCCCAAGTGTGTTCGGAGGTGAAAGGACACTAGAGGCGACATGCTTCCGGCCCGCAGCGGTGGGTCTTCCCCAGCAGGGAGGGAGGGAGCCGCTGTGGCCATCCCGAAGGTGGACTCTGCAAAGGCCTCCCAGGGAGCCCGGCCCCTGGCGGGGGGCAGGCAGCTCAGCCCCCCTTTCCCGGCTGGAGCTCGGCCCTGTAATTGTTCCCGGCTCCTTGGCAGCCACGGCCGCCGGCTAATGAGTTTGCACCCGACTGGCCCCTGGGCCGGGCCGCACAGCCCAGGCCTGCCTGCCCATCTGCAGGCAGACAAAGGCCCTCTGTCCTTGGGCTCTGCCTCCTGCCCGCCCACCGCCTCCCCGACACACCGAGGCCCCGGCTGCCAAGCGGCCCTCCTGTAGCGGAGGAGCCCGGGACCCTGGCGTGGAGCACAGCGGAAGGAGCATTTGTCCTGGAGGGTGGGGCCCTGGCACCAGCTCTGTCCCAACTCCTGCGTGACATGGAAGACCATGAGATGTCAAGACAGGGAGCATGGCCTCTGGGGCCAGCCTGCCCGGGTGGGCGCCCTGCCTCCAGCACCCACCTCCTCAGTCCCCGAAGCAGGAATAGGTCCCATGAACCTATAGGGGGTGGGTCCCAGGTGCAGCTCCTGGCGCATGTGAGGAGCGACTGTCATTATTGGGGACCCCCCTATTGACCCAGCATCCTCAGCCCTCTCAGGCTCGCTTAGCCTTGGCATGACTGACGATTAGAACTGGGACGTTCTTTGTTGCAGAAGGCCATCTGGTGCCCCGTAGGATGTTTGTTCAGCAGCTTCCCCGGCTTCCGCTGGCCCAGTGTCGAGGTTCCCTGTCAAACACTGAAATTCTGTGATGTGCCTTGGGATCCCCAGAACCTCCCCCATGCTGGGAACCATTGCGATACAACCCTGACTTAGGAACACCAGCTTGGAAGTCTTACTCCGCCCCCGGCCCCGGTCCAAAAAAAAACCAAACCCCTCCACAGTCTGGGATCCCCTAAGTGCCTCGTGCTGCTGGTGGGGAGTCTCAGGGCTGGGAGGGGGATGGCTACTTGTTCATGGAGAGAAACCACCAGCCACATCGTGCAAAACCTGCAGCAGGCCCGAGCCCCGAGCACCTGGAAACTCCTTGGTGTTGGCTGTGGCCTCTCCCCCACCCTCCTTCTGGATCTGCTATGTCCCCATCCCAAGCTGGGCTCCAGCTTGTCCAGAGCTCCTGTCCTGCCAGGCCCACCCCTTGGTCTTCCCCAGTGCTCTCCGGCCTCCAGACGTTCTGCCTTCGTTGGCGCTGTCCCTCCGGCCTCGAGTGCCCTTTCTGGACCCTTCCTTGTCCCTCCAGGGGCAGCTCCGAGGTCCCTCCCCTGGAGGCTCTCCCAAATCCCTCCGTCAGGCTCTGCTCCGCTCCAGGCTCCAGAGCCAGCTCTGAGCTCACCACTCTGCAGGAACACATGTCTGCCCAGCATGGCATTGGGTTTATTTATGAGGCTGTCTGTCTGCCCCCGGTCCCAGGAGCCCCAGGGCAGGGCCCTGTCTGATTCATGGCCCAGCCAGGGTCTGGCCAGCATCAGGGAGCGTGTGCTAAGCAGCACTGACGTGAGCTGGCTCAGGGAGGAGGCATCGTGAGGTCTGGTTGGCACAGAGCTCAGGCCCAGGGGTGGTGGGGACTTTCTGATGCCAGGGCCTCCGGAGAAGGCTGGAAACCGCCTGGGCTCACTCTCCTTCACCATTCCCTCCCCTCCTTCCCGCAGTCCCTGACTCATTCACCCCATAACTCCTTGTCTCGTTCATTCATGCATGTGCCTGCTTCTTCAAGCACTCATTCACTAACGGGGGCTCACCCATTCACTTCTTCACCCTCTGTCGTATGAGCAACCTCTCCCGAGCTCTGTGCTATACCCGGTCCTGCTCTCTGGGGAACTGCGGACACCCTGCCCAGCTCGGGAGACCGTGCACTCAGGAGGAGTGGTGGGGCCGGGGTGTCCAAGGGGCCCCAGGGTGCCCCCAAACCCGCTCGTCCTCTCTATGGCTCACTCCTTCTCAAATAAATGAATAAAATGAAAGAGGCAGAGGGAGAGGGAGAGGGAGAAGCAGGGAGCCCGATGTGGGGCTCGATGTGGGGCTCGATCCCAGGACCTCAGAGTCATGACCTGAGCTGAAGGCAGACGCTTAACCGACGGAGCCACCCAGGGCCCCCTCAACGTAAAATCTTTAAAAGAAATGCCAAGGGAGGCTGGGAGGTGGGACTTAGAGTTTTGGGGAGGGGGAGAGGCAAGGTGACAGAGCAAGGGACGAGGTCCTCTCTGTAGCAGTCGGGAACTGGGAACCGTGTGCAAGGTGACTGGTGAGGGAGAGGGAGGGACGAGAACTGCACCCAACCGCCACCCTCCATCCAGATACTGAACCTGTGCACACAGTCAGTGCCTGCTGGATGCAGGCAGCGCCCCCGGGGCTGGGGACACAAGGACCACACAGACACCCTGCCCTCAAAGAGCTTACACTGCAGCGTGGGGAAGGCAGGCAACCGAAAAGCAAGGCAATATGTGCTTCCAAGAGCCCGGACCAGGGGCCTGAGCCTCTGGTGAGGGTGTCCCCACAGATCCCAGCTGGGAACCCGAGCCACCTGTCGAGGTCAGGGACTGACTTCACTTCTGCATCACAGCCCAGCCGGGCTTCTCGGGGTGTTGCTTGGTCCAGATGCACCCCCTGCATAATTGGCAGCTGAGCCTTAACAGGCACCTAAGGGAACTCTGGGTGCCTTGGATTACTTTAAATCATCAGGATTTTAATTTATAGATGTAATTTATCCTTACTCTAAGATTCAAACATCACAGTAACCCCAACCTAGAAGGGGAGGTCCCCTTCCCTCAAATCCCCATCCCTAGAGACGACCACTGTTAACAGTTTAGGGGGTCCTCCCCCAGATTTTTGTGCGAATGTCCGTGTAATGTGGATAATTCCTTTGAAATCCAATCATGTGTATTTTTTGCCTCATACTTCCCTTTGTGACATTCTCCTGCTATTCAGCCGGAGGCATCCATTCCCCTCAGGGAGGGTTAAATACAATAGTCAGGCAAAATGGAACAAAGAACAATGCTTAGTTAGCTTTCAACTCCCCAAAATAGGATCTCAATAGTCTTTGGTGAGTGACAGGTTGGTTAGGGTGCTTTGGGCTGCAGATAACAGGAAGTGCAACACAAATGGCTTCAACAATGAGATGTACCAGCTCAGGCAGCCAGACTCCAGAGACTGGGTGTGCTTCAGGTCTGGCTTAATCCAGCAGCTCTGAACCATCTCTCTGCAGTCCCTTGGCTGGGCTTTCCTCTATCTGATGGCTTCATCCATGGGCTGGCGTCCCTCAAAAAGCCAAATGGCTAGGCTACCCATTCATCACCATGATCCTTAGGGAAAGGGACAGCATGTCTCTTCTGCTAGATCCTTCTTAAGAGCAAGGATGCACCTCTCTCAGAAGCTCCCAGAAGTCTCCCCTTGCATCGTGGCTAGAGTCACATACTGATGCCTACGGCTGGGGGGTGGACCCCTGCACTGGTACTTAGGCCTTAGGGTTTCTGGACCATCTCCCTGGCAAATGGGATGGGATTCCATGACACCGGTTAGAACCATCCCTGGAGCCGAGGTTGGGGGGATAGCACAAAGGTCATGAGAAGGCAAGATGGGTTTCAGAACGAAAACGGATGGTTTCAAGAAGAGGAGCAGGGAAATAGAAGATGGGCAGAGGATCACCACCATCGACTATGAGAGAGAAAGCAGATTTCTCCACTCCTATGTCCCTTCTGCAGACATCAAGAGTCAGTCTTGGCGGACTCGCGTGCAGTCCTGTGCAGGCACAGGTAGAGAGATGTAGGGAAATTCCTGTCCAGCTTGAGAGGAAGTGGGCAGTGTTTCCACTTTGCAGAAGAGCCACTAGAGAGTCAGAAAAGCAGATTTGGGGGAGGCAAGAGTGAGCTGAAGAGCTGCCCGAGGGATCCAGGGCCCCAGCTTTCTCTCTGAGCCCCAGCCTGGCGAGGGGCTGTGGCGAAGCTAGAAGCCTCAGACGGAGGCCTCTGACACTTCGAGAACTCCAGAACTCTGCTGGAGCTGTCATGAAGGATGTTTGGTCCACACCCACAGTGGAACAGAAAGGGCAGTAAGGCGTGGATATTAGTTTCTTGGACAAATGACCATAAACTTGGTGTCTTAAAACAATAGAAATTTATTCTTTGATAGTTCTGGAGGCCAGATGTCTGAAATCATGGTAGCAGTAGGGCTCTATCTAGTCGGTTCCTTGCCTCTTCCAGCTTCAGGTGGCTGCCGGCATTCCTGTGGCTGGGTCACCCCAGTCCCTGCCTCTGCCTTCAACAGCTTTTTCTTTTCTCTGTTTCTGTGAGACTTCTTTCTGTGTCAAATCGCCCTCTAACTTTTTTTTTTAATAAAGTCACATGTCATTGGATTTAGGGCCAACCAGATAATCCAGGGTGATCTTATCTTGAGATCCTTAATTGTGTCTGCAAAGATCTTTTCTTCCTCCTTCCCTTCCTTTTCTTTTCTTTTCTTTTCTTTCTTTCTTTTTTCTTTCTTTCCGGGTGTTATTGTAATATGTTGGCAAATTGAACACCAACAAAAAATAAATTTACAAAAAAATTTTTTCTTTTTTCTTTCTTTCTTTCTTTCTTTTTTCTTTCTTTCTTTCTTTCTTTCTTTCTTTCTTTCTTTCTTTCTTCTTTCTTTCTTTCTTTCTTTCTTTCTTTCTTTCTTTCTTTCTTTCTTTCTTTCTTTCTTTCTTTCTTCTTTCTTTCCCTTGGTCAAATCACACTCACAAGCTTTGAGGGTTAGGATGTGGACATGTCTTTCTGGGGGCCAGCATTTTGCCCACTACAATGTGTTCACACAGAGAGAAGACCGTGGATAGTGCCTCCCCACCTTGCCATGATGCTCATCTCCTGTGTGGTGCAGAAGGGATGCCCCAACTTCCCAGCACCCTGATAAAGGGAGGACGCAGAAGGCCACTGAGAGCTCTGGCCAGTCACTTGCCAGTCAGGACCCTGGACAGGGATGCAATGACCCTCCACTTCCAGCCAGACCTCAAGGGATTCACTGTTATGGATCTTGGTCAGCCTCGCTTCTCTGGAGCTTCCAAACCAATCCTTGCCCAAGTCAGAATGACCCTGGTTCCACCGGCTGCATAGGTAAGGGGACAGAAACTGAGGCTCGGAACCATCAGAACGAGACACTCCAACAGAGGGGGGGGGGGTGACATGAGGCCAAGAGAGGCCTTTCCCTGATGCTGTGAGTACACCGAAGCTTCCAGCCCTCAGACCCCACCTTAGGAGGGAGACCCTATGTGATGAGGAGATAGCTCTGACAGGGAGCTCAATTTTGCAGCGACTGAATCCCCCAAAGAGAATGAGTTACCTTTAATTGCGAACAGTTTATTTTTCTTTTTTCTCCACCTCTAAGTATATCCATTATAAGCCTCCTGCAAATGATGGGATTGCCAGTTTTTTTAATGTGCATATGCTACACATCTTGTTCTGCAAATTGCTTTTTTTAAATACTACTTTATTGAAGTACAGTTGTGCAAATTGCTTTTAATACCTCATACATTTTAGACATATTTCTATGACAGTCTATTTCAGAACTACCTGACTTCTTTCTAAATCTACACACTATCATTTATTTAACCAGACCCCTACGGGTGGCCATTCGGGTGGTTTGTTGAATTTATTGGAATTAACAAGTGAACCAGTTGAGCAATGTGCAGCAATGCCCCTTCATGTTGGGGTTGCAAAAATGGCAATATTTTCTTCCCTTTCTCCAAAAGCAGTGTAGCTCTGACCCTCACATTTCAGCAGATGAAAGAGTAATGACATGGCCCCAGGACCCGTTGGTCAGAAAAGTGCACCACAGCCATGGCCACCTTCCAGAGCACTCTGGGAAGTCAGGTGCAAGGCAGCTTGCCAAGACACGTCCCTTCCAGTGTGAGTAACACTCTGAACTCTTGAACATAACCTGCTGGCAGCATTTGCTCTACCTTGTTAGTCAATTGTCATTTCTCAAAGAAGGGCAGCAGGACACGGATCTTTGCCTCATTGCAACATTCTAATTGCAACGGCCTTTAAAAAAAACACACACGCACAAAACCTAACAACAACAGCAACAAACTCCCTGCATATCTCTGTGTATTCCTGGGATATAAAGGTGCAGAAAGGGCTTGGCTGTTTTCTCACCTGGTGTTTTAATCAGAACCCTTTAGACTCCAAGTGACAGAAACCCTGATGAAATGTAAGCAGAGCAGGAAATGTGTTGTCTCATGCAAATGACAAGTCTGAGGAACTTCAGACATGCTGCATCCAGGTGTTTAATTGATGCCATTAAGACTATCTCTCCATCTCTCAGGCTTGCCCGCCTTTGTTTTTTTCCAGGCAGATTTTCGCTATGTGATGCAAGATGTCCACCAGCTGCTACTGCCTCATCTTTATAGTTCATGGCCTCAGAAGAGAGAGTTTCCAGAGAGTTCTGGCAAAAGTCTCAGGGAAGACTCCTATTGGCCTGGCTTGGATCATGAGTTTATCCTCGAGCCAAGTGCCGTGCCTGCGGGGTGGATGCTCTGGTTGGCCAGGCCCGGTTCTGGAGCTGCCCTGCCTGGGCCTGTGGGGAGAGCACCCCGCCTGAGCCACACGGACGGGGTAGGATTAATGGGGGGAGACGGTGTCTGCCAAAAGCAGTCTGGCCTGACAGACAGGTGTCCCCAACGCCTGGCCTTCATCAGGGTTGCACCTCCGTCTGTAGAGAAGATGCTTGCTATTTGAATACAGAATTGGCTACGGCTGGACTACAAACTGATAGCCACGCAGGGCGGTTGGGCCCTGCTCGGGCCTGTGTGAGGCTCCTACCGTCTAGTCACCCTCAGGCTAAGGTGGTGGCGAGTGGGCGGTTGCCATCCAAGCCTGCACCCGGGGCCCAGGCTTTCCCCGACTGTTGTGCAGTGCAAACAAACAGCCCTGACCTGGGAGGAGACCCCAGTGGAGCAGCCCTTTCCCAGTGCAGGTGGCTTGAGATTAAATACTAAGTGGCCCTTGTCAGCATTTCGGGATGCCCTCAACGTCCTTTTTTCGGGCCATCCTTGCACAGCCCCCGACTCCCCTAATTCCCATATAGTGGCCTGGGCCTCTACCGCCCTGGGAAAAGCGTAGTTCCTTTGTCCTCACTCTCTGGCCAGGTCCCAGGCCTGGCTTGCAGCCTCTCTGCTGAGAGTGGCGTCTCTTGGCTACGGGGGGCATGCTTGCGATTTGGGGGTGCTTGCTGTGCTGAGGGCTGGATCAGAGAGAGTCAGAGGACAGGGGTGTGCTGGAAGGCAGCATTTGGGGACGATCTTATCCCAGATTGGGTTTCTGGGCAGATAGGCAGAGAGATGGGGAGTCTGTCCTTCCCAAAGCCTCCAAGGAGGCAACCCTCCCATCTGACCTGCGTGGTGGGGCCTCTGCTGGAGCCCACCTCGATCTCACCTGCCTTCCCTTCCCTCATGGCCCCAGGCTGGACAATACTGTTCCTTCCTCTGGGCCTTTGTCTATGCTGTTCCCCCTCCTGGCATGCCCTCTCCTGCCCACCGATCAGTAGGCATCCTTCGAAATCCCACTCACTCAAGTAGCCACTGCACACAAGTGGGAATTTGACCTACGGCCGTTCCTAGTATGTGAAGATGCGTCGCAGCATGTGCTCCTTCCAGCAGCCAGCGCCGCTGGCTCGAGCCGCAGGGCTTCTGTGCAGCCTGGAGAGGCTGTGCTGTACAAGCTCCAGAGAGTCAACGTCCTCCCACACCCGAACCAGCCCTCAGCCAATGACCTACTGGCCCAGCGCCCTCGCTCCCTGAGTGGGATAACTCCGAGGTGTGGTTTACACAGTTTCCCAGAGTCTCCCTGCGGGATGAAAGTCCAGGTGCCCTGGGTGGTAGCTTGCTTGTTGACATACACTTCAGTGGCCTCCTCCTTGGCCTCTCTGGCTTCTGAACTCCCACATGAGTTTTCTAGCATCATCCGCCAGTATGGGATAAAGTATGGCACTAAATTGTGCCCCCCAGCTCCCCCTGTAACTGTATTTGGAGACAAGGCCTCTAGGGAGATAATTAAGGTTAAGTGAGGCCATAAGAGTGAGACCATAAGGACGCCTGGGGGGCTCAGTGGTTGAGCGCCTGCCTTCGGCTCAGGGCTTGATCCTGGGGTCCCGGGATCGAGTCCCACGTCGGGCTCCCTGCATGGAGCCTGCTTCTCCCTCTGCCTGTGTCTCTGCCTCTCTCTCTCTGTATCTCTCATGAATAAATAAATAAAATCTTTAAAAAAATAAAAAGAGTGAGGTCACAATATGATAGAATTGGTATCTCCTTATAAGAAGAGGAAGAGACACAGCAGAGATCTCTTTCCACGCACGCAGAGAAGAGGCCATGTGAGGACACAGCACAAGGGCTCCTGTAAGACAGAAAGAGAGGCCTTGCCAGAAATGCACCCTGATGGCCCCTCGATCCTGAGCTTCTAGCTTCCAGAACCGAGAGAAAATAAATGTTCCTTGGGCCACACGGTGTGTGATGTTCTATTATGGCAACCCGAGGAGAGGCATACATTTGCCAGCTAACCAACTTGCTCGAATCCGTGTCTCAGGCTCGACTCCCAGGGAAAGCAAACTCAGGCATGTGATCCACTTCATCAGGTATTGGGGAAATGCAAAATAAAACCACAGTGTGACACCATTCCATGGCTGTAGGAATGACTAAAAGGGGAACATTTGGCCCTACCAGAGAACGTGAAGCAGTCACGTAACAGCTGATGGAAGCGTGAAGTGGTAAACCATTTTGGGACACTGTCTGCTGGAATCCGAGAAAGCTAAAAGACGTGGGTATCCCATGACTCAGCAATCCCACACCTGGGTGCCCCAGAAATTCTGCTACCCCAGCAGAAACACATACAGATGTTCACCAGAAGTGAGGTGCCAAAGGGCTCAAAGCCACACTATTTGTAATGGTTTGCAAACTGGAAACTGCCCACCTTCCACCAACGGTCGAATGAATAAACAAATGGGGTCGAGTCACGCAACGGGATACTACAGAGCACTGAAAAAGGAGAAATTTTGTCACACGTGACAGCACTGATGAATGTCAGAAACCCAACGTCGTCCAAAAGAGGTCAAGTGCAGAAGTACCTTCTGTCATATTTAACTTACATGAAGTTCAAGAGCATAACATTCACACAGAAAAGTGTTCAAGTCACAGATGCACCACTACATGAATAATTCGGTGAACTTTTTTTAGGGTATACACCTATTAGTGGAATTATTTTGCTTTCATTTCTTCTGCTGCCCTGACTCACTTAGGGTAACCAAAGAGGCCTCTGATTTCCCCTGCTGGCTGAAGTCACAGGGCCTCAGTTTCCCTCTGTGGCTGGAGCATGCTTGCCTCCCCCAGGTGCCATGAGGCTCTAAGAGCTTCTCCAGGGAGTAGGATCAGGTCATGGGCCCTTGGACCTACTGGCCCAGCTCCTGGCATTCCTGAGGCCAAAGGTATCCCAGGGGAGGGCGGATGCTGCGGGCCTAGCCTTAGCAGCTCCACCGGCCAGGTGCAGGAATAGGGCAGTGGGTGAGCGTCAGGTCAGGGCTGGGTCAGGGCCGGGTCAGACAGCGGAAGCTGGAATGGACAGGGCACAGCCCAGGCCTGGTGGCTGCCAGGTAGAGGGGCAAGCAGATCCCAGACCGTTCTGTGCACCCCTGAGCAGGGCCTGGACCTCCTTAGTGCCTGCCTCCTCTTCTCTGGGCCTCTCTTCCCTCTTGTGTCAGCTTCTGCTCAGAGTTGCCTCCTCGGCAGCTCAAGGATGAAAGGAGATTGAAGACGCTTCCCTAGGGCCCCTGGGACATTGTCGGCCCATTTCACAGCCGCAGAAGCTGAGGCTCCGAGAGGTTAGAGGGCTTCTCTGAGTCACACAGGATTTGAGCCCAAGTCTGTTTTTTTTTTAAATTAATACATATTTTAAAGAGTTCTTGGTTTTCTTCTTTTAATATTTATTTACTTATTCGTGAGAGACACAGGGGGAGGGCGGGGGCAGAGGCATAGGCAGAGGGAGAAAGAAGCAGGCTCCTCGCAGGAGCCCGACGCAGGACTCAATCCTGGATCCCAGGATCACGACCTGAGCCGAAGGCAGACACCCAACCGCTGAGCACCCCAGGCATCCCTGTTTGGTTTTAAAGCCTGTACTTTCCTGACCTGATGTGGCTGCCTGCCTGGGGGGCTGACATGGTGTGATCTGGGGGGCCTACACCCCCAAAGTCAGGCTACGCCTCGCCCAGGGCTTGAGTTTCCATCGTTAGAACGGGATTCCTCTGGGTAAAGCAATTCTGAAAGCTCGTAGGGATGAGGGGTGAGACTTGCCGCATCTAATGGTTCGAGTGTAAACAATTGCCTGGCAAGATGGGAGACCAGGGTCCCCCGAAGTGGTGCGCTATGATCCCCTCTCTCACTTCCTCGCTCCCACCATTTGATGACCGGAAAGCTGAGCCCCAGGGAGGGCACTGGGTTGTTGGGACTCACACCCAGGGCCTAGCCACCCCCAGCCAAGGGGGCTGAATGGGAAAGGGCTGGTTGGGGGCCCTGGGGCTTTTCACAGGGGCCACCCCGAGGCCTACAGTCCTGGGTGTCCGAGGTGTGCTTCCACGGATGGGTAGAAGGACTGGGTGCTATCTCAGGCCCCGAGATTAGTCAGTCTCTGAGCTCACACACACACCCTCTGTCCCCCAGAACACACGGAGCCCCACGCCCCCACCTGACACTGCACACAGCCCTGACCTGCCGCTGGGCTGGGCTCCTGCCTGCTGGGCCTCCTCAGATCGCCTGGGACCTCCCCTGAGCTGCTGTGGACCCACACAAGCCTCACGGCCTCTGAGACAGGAGCCCCTTGGGGGGCAGGCCCTCTGGCCGCCCAGCCCCTCACAGCCGCACAGCTCCTGCCCCTCTGTTCTGGGCCGGGGACTCGGGGCAGACCCGAACTAGGATTTGAGGGCCTAGAGTTGACTTGCAAGGTGATTCTGGGAAGCCATTAAGGGTGCAGGAAATGGGAACAGGGAGGGAAGCCAACATATGGGCAAGTTACCAAGCAGCATTTGGGGCTGGGGCTCAGCCCCCGTGGGACCTCCAGCAGTGGGTGGAGAGCCAGGCTCAGAGTTGTCCCCCCTGAGGCACCAGGGAGTGGGGGGCAGCTGTCCACCGACCCTGTTCTTGCTCAGAGCCTGCTCCTGAGGGCGTGAGCTGCGGGCACCTTGGGCACCCCCCCCACCCTGCCCCCGGGGACCCACAGATGCTTTGTCAAGCCTGTGGACAGGCGGGGAAGGAGCTTGCAGGGGAGAGAAGGGACGTGGGTGGAAAGAGCCCCAAGGTCCCAGGGTCAGGAGGGCCTGAGTCCCAGCACTGTGGCTGCTGCTGAGTCATCTCTGAGGGTCAGTCGTTGCATCTATGAAATGGGAATAAAAACACTGCTTACCTCCCAGGTGTGTGGTGGGGAATCCAATGCGATAAGCTCTGTAAGTGGCCGGGAGTGGTGCTGGCACCGGGTGGGGAGTGATAAACGATGCTTTTTCATCCCTCCTCCAGGGCAAAGATCAGATGACTCACCCGCGGTGCCCGGCACCAGGACCTGCCGCCGCGTGCAGGAAACACTGCTACTCCTAGCACCTGTCCTCTCCCTCCCCTTTGCTCTTTATCTTCTATTTTTGAAGTCAAATAGTGACTGTTATCTAAGCCATGCCGTGTTGGGGTAGGCTCTGGGGACCCAGGAATGCCCTGAGCCTGTCCTTGCCCTGGGAGTTCACAGTCCAGTCGGCGAGACACAATATGTGGCCAGGAGGTGACCTGGGTGGGGGCTTTGACAGGGAGGTAGAAGTTTGTGGGTCAGGCCAGAGGTGAGGAGGGACTGCAGGCAGAGGGTGGAGCCAGAGGTGCTGGGGTGGAGGCGCAGAGATTGTTCTAGGGCCAGGAGGGAGGTGAACCAAGAAAGGCAGGCAGGTACAGCGGCTTGTAATTCGAGGTACCCTTGGTTACAGAGGAGGACATGGGGGCCGAGGGGGCTGTGTCAGAGCAGGGGCTGGCCAGGGTCCCCACCCCCACCTGAACCACAGCTGGAGGCCCCTGGGTCCGGGAAGCTGAGCTTTCTGGTGTGGGATGGGGATGGAGCTCAGGGCTGGCCAGCCTTGGAACCTGAGGCAGGGGCCTCTGTTGTGTGCACTTCCCCAGCCCGGCTAGCCCAGACCCCGCAACAGCTCCCTGGAGATTGGGGGTGAGAAACCCTCCACTTCCATGCTTTTTGTTCAAATTCTGTATTTACATCTCTGATATATCTATGTTTGTTCTTAAAATCAATACAGCTTATAATGACTTACTAGTGAGGGGGGCCGGGAGGTCCCGGCAAGGTGGGGTGGGTCCCAGAGGAGTCCCGTTTCCACACCTAGTTATGCCCACACGCGTACTGAGATACGCCTAGATCCACACTCATGTGTGCACACTCAGGCACACACTCAGTCAACACTTATGGATACTTCATGCGTGCGTTCTTACACGTACCCAGATATAGACACATGCACCTGGGTGTGTGCTTATGTCACTCTGGCGCCCACATACCCATGACCTATCCTTGTGGATTTGTACCCACATCATGCAGGCGCACTCACATCCTCCCTCAGGCACGCAGATGTAGCACACATGTGCACCGACTTAGACACTCAGGGGCACTCGTAGTCACGTAGACTTGTCCATGTCAGCATGCACGGGAATGTGTGCACGTGTGAATCGTGCACAAATACCTGTCTTGTGAGACACAAACCCGAGTGCCTGTAGATATGCAGCAGTACGGCCAGCTCTGCACACGAGAGGACATTTCACACGCAGATGCACCCTCGTGGGCATGTGCTCAGGCACGGTCTTGTAGTAGCTGGGCGGGACTCCACTGTGCCAGGCTCGCAACATGCTGCTTCAAAGTCACAAGGAGGGAGCCTTGGGGGCCTGGCCCTGAGGGGGTGTGGGCAGCTCCCCTCCTCTGCTCTCCCTGCCGGTCCCTTGTCTCCCGGCTGCCACCTCCCAGGAGCTCTCCTTCCACCTTGGAGGTAATCGATGCACATGGCCAGCGTGGAGCCTCTGCAGGGAGCAGATTCTGCACCTCCTCCCTGGGAGGCACCTGAGAGCTGGGAGCCTGGTGCCCAGAAGGGTCAGTGGCCCGCCTGGGTCCGCACAGCAAGGCCTGATAGAGGCCAGAGCAGGACCCAGTCTTTTCAAAGAGACCACTTTGGCTCACAGTCTGAGAGCGAAC